ATATATATATATATATATATATATATATATATATATATATATATATATATGTGTGCCTTACTATGTATATATATATATATGTAATCTATATATAATTGTAATGTAAGTAGCTTTAAGGTATGTATGGTAAATTAATTGTTGCTCAACTCCGTTCGATTCGATTCCACAAGTATTTCTTAAATGTTATTGTTTAAATGAATTTGCTTCTTTAGGATTTCCTTCATTTTGTTTTTTAGTTTTAGTTTTAATTTATGTTTTACGTTAGCGTTCACTATTTTCTTGTGTCAGATCAAAAGCGCCATTAACTATGAAGTAAATATGCACAGACATCAAATAATTTTCAATAAAATTAGTTTGACTTTTGTATTCGAAATTTCTACATACATAATTTTGTTTAATTTAGTTCATTATTAGTGTTTTTACTAATTTCTCGAATTTGCTTTTCTTTATTTTTTTACTGACAAACCATAAATTGATTTAAGACGGTTTCATTTCAGTTTTCAGTTTGCATCCGTTTTTTGTTTGATGCGATTTCATGTCTTAGTTTATATACAGGAACTTAATATTTACCTAAGAAACACGACACAACGAACAATATTTGTAATGACAAAATTTATGCTAAAAGTCCGGCTCTGTTTAAGTGAATTGCATATTGCGTGGGTGTGATCCAACACACGTACATATATATTTATACTCTATTATATATATGTCTATATATGTTGGGTTTCTTATGTGTGTGCATATCTATTTTGTGCTGTCTGTAAAAATTGTTAAACAATTTGTTTGTTTAGGTTGAAGAACTTGCTGTGGACCTACACTTGGATTTAACCTGCGCTTACATTAAAATCTACTACTTCAATTGTATTTGTATTCATAATTAGTATGGATATTATTTCGTATATGCATATAATATTTATAGTTCAAAAGATAGACAGAGAGACAGAGAGAGATAGAGAGAGAGAGAGAGTGAGTGAGAGGGACAGAAAGAAAGATAAAGAAAATACATACATACACATCAAATATTGATATATTGAATGTGTATCGTACTTCTGCTCCTTCCCCTTCTTCGCCTTCTTCTCCCATTTTTTATATATTGTTTACATTAATGCTTTATGCAGCTAACTCTGCCACTGCACTCACCTACTGCACCAAGCTATAATAAACTGGGTGATTTACATTTGTTTGTCTTGCTTTTATATGGGGTTATTCAAGCACGGACTTATCAATTAACTGTACTTCATTAAAGAACATTTTGAAACTCTTGTTGGGGTGAGCCAACGGTTAAGACTTTGAATAAAACAGCAACGCCAGCTCTTAGGCTCCTAGCTGCCTCCCTCCTCATCGTCCGCCACATTTCTGCCCTCAAAGTGATCTGTGAGGTCCGATGTGTTTGGCATACGGGGTTCGTTGGTGGATCTCGTCTCTCAGCTAGCACGTAAAGTCAAGCATCATCTCGTTCTTGACCGAACTGAGATGGGGCTCGAAGTGTGGCTGCGACGTCGGATGGGGATTGGCTAAATGCTAGTAGGTGGCAAAGCCCATGGCGCCAGCGTTGCTGTTGTCCAAAGGTCACTGGTGCATCTTCGTGGCATGATGACCCATGCTCAGGCCCAGGTTGAGATGGTGGTTGTTGTGGTGCTGCTGTGCCGCTTGAGCATGATTGTGGTTGCTGCTGGAGTTGTTGTTGTTGTTCTGCTGCGTGGCCTGTCGCTGCGAGTTCTTCTTGTTCTTCATGCGTCGATTTTGAAACCAGATTTTTACCTAAACACATACACACGCAGAATCATGCGAACCAATTACAATCGTTTCACTCATTATCATGCCCATCTTCACTCACCTGACGCTCCGTCAGCTGTAGATTACGCGCCAACTCCCAGCGCTTCTGCTTCGAGACGTACGCATTAAAAAGAAATTCCTTCTCCAGCTCCAGCGTCTGGAACTTTGAGTACGGCTTGCGCTTTTTTCGCACCGACACCTGTCCGGTCCACTCATGCATCGCATTTGTTGGCGTACAAGGCCCGACAGCGCCCACCGAGAGTCCACCAGAAGTGCCTGGCGACACATGACAAAAATGTATTAATGATTGAAGACTCCAAATTATTCTTAATAATAATTGAATAGGAGCTTTTTATAGTTTACTAGCTAATAATACTAGATAATCACATGAAACCCTGATCAAAACCTGTCTGACCAATAACATCCAAGCCCATCGATGAAATTAAATACATAAAATTTAAAACTTTATTCTTCTTTGTCTCTCATTTCAAATCTTACTTATTATTATATACTCAAATATCAAGGTAAATCTCCATCAAAACTGTTTCTAATCATCTTCCTATATTCCGTTAATAACAAATATTGGAGGGTTGCTTGGGAGTGGCTACTCCTAGGTGGTTTCGGGCTGAATACACATGCTTATATATGTATATATGCCTGTTGAACAGATATTTTTCAATACGCTAATTAGACGGCAAACTCTGTAGTCGCGTCGTTTTTGCTACGGACAAAATCAAAGTGGAACAGCGATAAAGCGAGTGGAAGGCTGTTGCGACTTACCTGTGCTCGAGTAGGCCTCGGGAAAGGCGCGCAGCCCACCAGGTGAGGAGTATGTGGGCGTCTCGTAGCTGGACTGCGAAGTGCCCTCCACTGACTGCCGCGCCGCTGCTGCCGCACTAACTGAAGCATGGCGCTCGTCGGTGGCGCTCATGTAGGCCGCTGCTGCAGCGGAGGTTGGCTGATCGCGATAGTTGGGCCAGTATGCAGGCTGCAGACGAAGTGGGCGCGGGGGAGAGGTGGAAAACAAAGGTGAGGTTGACATTGAGTTGTTTACGAGACGGCCGAGTCGACTGTGCGGCCCGATCTGAGCCGGGGAGCAAGTCAGCTTGGCTACTGCTGCTACCGTTGGCCTCGAGCACTCACCTGAAACTGGGTCTCGGGGTAGCCGTAGAACATAGGCTTGCGATCCCTATCGAGATAGTACGGTGAGGCATGGTACTGGTTGAACTCATTCTCGTACGGCCACGGATGCGCGTGCCGCTTAACTGGCGTCGTTGCGTCCGTTTCAAAGCCAGGCCTGATCGCGGGTATATGTATTGGTGCTAATGAGATGGACATGTCTGTAAAATACAACAGATACATACAAATACAATACATCGTCGTTATTGATGACCTGTCATATAACACAACTCAACGAGCATTGTTCGTTCTTAATTAAGCACTTCAACCTGCGCACATACATATACGTGAATATATGCATATACATTGGATAAATACATACATAAATAGCTTTCTAATACAACTTTATTATTAAAGCAGTTGTATGAGAAAACCCATATTATTTGTAAACATATTAAAAGATATCAATTGAAACTTTCTTAAATTTGAACTTGCTTACTGTATAGGGAACTAATAATAGAATGATTGTAATAATATTAGTTAAAGCTGCGCATTTCTTAATATATTACAAAATAAATATAGACTACATTTTGATAAAAAAGAAATGTTATATTTACTTATTAATAATAATAATACTTAGATCAAGAATACCACCCCAACTACTTTCAATATATACCTGAGCATTATATATTTATTTGAAAAATATATGTAGTGTACAAAAATAAAAATAAATAAAAAATAATATTCTAAATAATATAATATTCTAAATAATTACTAAAGAATCCCTGTAATCAAACTTCTTTAATTCAGAATACAAGCTGTTATATTTGTATGAAGAGTTTATTGCATGGCAACCCGATGACCTAGTAATTGCTTTTCAACCGATTTACAAACCTATATTTAAAGACTACTATAACCTCGCATTTGTATTTCTATAGAAATACAATTTTTTTCATTTCTATATTTTTTTTATAAATTATATTATTGTATTTATATTTATATATATTTTATTTTTATTATTTTATTATGTTGTTTAATGATTATAACATTTTTCTATTTATTTTTAATAATTGTTATAAGCTCAACAGAATCTTATAAATATATTTAGGTGTTTTGTATATTTTATTATTTATGGCTACAGCTTCTTGAATTATACCACCAACGATTTTAATCACCCTTAATTTCTTTTTATTCCTATTTCCTAATTTAATTTAAAAAAAAATCAATTTACAAAAAAAAATAAAAAATAAAATTAATTGAATTGTAAGTGGAATACAAATTCATGTCATATTTATAGTTTTTTGTATAGTTTTTTAGTGATTCCAAACAGAATTAAAAATTGCATATATTGTGAATAGATCATATATAAAAGCCTCTTTGAATAAGGGAACATAGAATGATTATTTGCATGAAAATTGCAAACCCAATTAGATTATTGATTTGCCTGTCTCTCACATTGGCGAATCCAATTGGAAGATGCTTTGAGGGCTTACCTGCTTGTTGAGAACTAACACTGGAGGGAGAGACACTCGCTGTTGTTGGAGCAACAATTTGGCTCTGGCCAGATGCCACAACAGAGCTTTGTTGCTGGCCACTTGGGGCGCTGTTTGGCGTCTGTTGCTGCTGTTGTTGTTGCTGTTGCTGCTGCTGTTGTTGTTGCTGCTGATGATGAGGTGATGTGAGATGCTGAGTCTGCTGTGGGGCAGTTCCAGTAGGCGTCTGGGCGGGACTAAGGGCACTGCCAACAGGAGTTGTTGTAAGCTGTTGCTGCTGCTGTTGCTGCTGCTGTTGCTGCTGCTGTTGCTGTTGCTGTTGCT